ATATCACTCCAAAAGCATAGATTTTTAACTTACATCGTAGCTTTGATATTACATCCTTTTTTTTTTTCCCTTGCGTCATAAGCCTACGCCACTTCAATGGGGTGGTTTGTCTCTCCGTTTTTGTTAATTAGAAAGAACCCAAGTCATACATATTTAGCAAACTCATAGCAACATCATCATCGTTAGCCTGGCTTTTCGAATCTCTTAGTCCAAAAGCATTTTTCTCCAAAACTAAAAGACACCTACCGTCTTTTCAAAGAAATACAAGGCTAATACGAGGGTATGACCAAAATAAGAATAAATTATAAAATATGAAGATTTTGGAGGAAAATAAGAGGAAAAGTGTAAAGAGAGTGTGTGGGTGGGTTTTGTTNNNNGGGGGGGATGAACAAACTTCATCCCCTTTGCCCAGAAACCAAACAGGACGTACAATGTTCAGGTTATTCACCAACCTTTGCTGCTGAAAACAGGTCTTAGAAAGAAGCAACTAGCAAGGTAGTTAAAAGTACTAAAACAAGTTTTCTCCGTGTGTCTTTCCTTGTGAACCCTTGAAGCATTCAATGCTTTGTAGCTCTCTACCTACTACCTCTCTTGTATAAAATTATTTCACAGCTTGTACAAACAAGCTCGAGCCAAAGTTACGCAAAAAGTGCAAAAACAAAGGAAAAAAGATTGAACTAAAGAAAAAGATGATCTTCAAATTGACACCTCATATATTCACAAAACAATGCCCTTGCCTTCACTACAAAAACTTTTACCCAGAGCGACGCTGCCCTACCATTCCATCTTCTCTGGTAGATATATACCAAGCTTATGACTTCTATTCTAAATTGTAGACCCTAAAAAATAACTTACCTGAAGGTATACGCCTTATACTACGATCTTTCTTGCATCTCTATGGGACTCATCGAGCAAAATTCACAGCTCAGAGCCCTCAGCTGACAGCTGAGTACTAGCCTATGTCTAATCACTGTTCCAGTTACCAATCACCAGGAAAAAGAAAACCACCTACTAGTCCGTCCTTGCTCTTCCAAGTTCGAGAAATGACCTCAATCTGCATTTACATCAGTCCTGAGAACTTCTAAAACTGTTGCATTGCAAAAGAAGCATCTCTCACAATTCAGGAGGTGTCTGGAAATGCAGCCTAAGCAAGAAACATGAGAACAGGGCACAAATTGAGCATTTGCTTGACATGCATAACAGATGCAGCAGATGCTGTCATCATAATCTGTTTCGCGCCCATATCCTATTCTCTCAAGTTCTACCACCTCTGACTGACAGATTAGCAGACTTGAAAATTTCTCCAGTTGCCTGATTTTCTTTAGATAATCATCTCCCCTGAATAAGCTAGCCTGAAATTCGTGAAAAGAAAGTTAGAATACAGATTAGGCAACCCAAAAGCAATTACTATTGAAACCCTTAAAAACACATTCGCATACATAAGCAGTCACCAAAAACAGCAAATGAGCACAGAGATGTCATTTACTTCAGGGACTTTAGCTAGGGATATCTAATCAGAGAAGCAGAAAAAGCCACCTAATCTTTGGATCTTCAATGCAAAATTACCTCATGTAGGCCTAGGTGATTTCTCCCTCTATCCCTCCCTTAGTTTTCTGCTTTTTAATTGCCAAATCTAAAACCATAGTACCCAGGAAAATAAAAACGGAAGCAATTTCGTTGGCTCTAAACCCATTTTTCATACCAGTGTGAAACTGGAAGTAGCCTAGGGAATTATCAAATTAATGAAGTGGAATAGCGACTAACCCAATTGTACTCCAAAAGATACTGAAATCCAGAGACTACAGTATCAGGGCAGTCCATACTGGCAAAAATCCCAACCATGTCATTCTGTCCAGTTTCTGAATCCCTGCTAGCATCCATCAAATTAAGAATGATTCCAGCAAGGGGTGCTAAAATCATCCCTTTATTGACTTTCTCTGGGGACTGACCTGGACGCCTTAGGAATCTGCAAGAATAACACAACTGAGTACCAAAAACAATTGAAGGAAACAACACAAACACACACACACATATAGAGAGAAAAGGGCTCAATAGTCAATACCATGTTAACAGGCAAACATCTCGTTTTGGTGAAAATAAATGCAAAGAACCAACTACATTTTGATAATGCAGGGCTAAGATGAATGTTATAGGTCAATGCAAGTCTGCAAATTGAAAATTAATTTTTTCTTGTCAGAAGTATCAGGTTTCAGTCTTCTCTCTCCTAATATCAATCTCATTGCTCGGCCCACGGGGCTTTGATTCAAAGGTAAAGCAAGTAAAGTGTTAGATGTGCGATAAAAACACAACATCAATTCAAACCATGCCGCTGATTAAGGCCTAGTATATAAATGGGAGAAGGGTCGAGGGATGGGCGCATACTCCACCGAGTTTTGTTCCAATACGCCAACTAGCGATGGGCCAGCTAACCCATAGGGATTTTTCGGTTATCGAGAAAAGGTATCAATCTCATTACTTGAGATGGTGGCTGCCAATTTACTATTTGAACGTGTGTCAACTAATTCAGAAAAGAAAGGATCTCATAAAGGAGCAGCTCAACTCGTCCGGAGAATAAATCAATGTTGTCATTCAAATAATTCATCTTTGGTTGTTTCGGAGACAGAAACAAAATAAGCAGGAAAAATAACTCCATACTCCCTCACTCGAAAGATGCCTTATAAATATATAAATCAAAAGGCTAAAGGTGTTTAACATAAATGATGAAACTTACAGGTCTAAAAGATCAGGATCAGCTGCAGAAATTAAGTGGTTTAGTATAAAGACGATAACTTCAGTCAGCCTTCGCAAATTTGTATCTGCTCCAGAGAGAAATGCTTGAGGGATCTCATGGGTACAAAACTCCAACACCCTAGCAAGATTGCATGATAGGTCAAATATGACGCTGCATTTCCTTTGCTGAAACTCCAACACCTAAAAAGCACAATTGACACATTTTAATAGAGAAATAAGAAGAAGAAAAAAAAGTAACAAAAGATTTCTTCAATCCATAAACTACTATTCCACCTGTGTAGACAGTATGCAAAAAGTCGCCTTCGCTTAAAAACAACACCACCACCACCACTATCTTGTAAAACGTAGGTAGACACTCTAAACCTAGATGTGATGAAAATTAAGTTCTTTTTTTATTTAAGAACTGTCGAGAATATTCCTTTTTTTTTTACAGGTACAATATTATACTAGATGACTTCATTAAAGAAACCATGAGTAGAATATCACAACAACACAACCCAGTAAAATCCCATTAGTGCGGTCCGGGGAGGGTAGAGTGTACGCAGACCTTACCCTATCCCGGAAGGGTCAAAAGCAATTCACTAAGTATACCCAAAAAAAAATTCCGGAGGTAAATAAAACATGCAGGGTTCAAAATCCTTTAATTTGTATCAATACTCTCTCATATGGAACACAACCTCTCAAACATATCAGAAAATAACAAAAGCTATTACCACGGGCAAATTAGAAATGACATACAACAAAAAGACAATGTAATAGAAGTCAAATACACAGAAATTCCTCAGTGTGGTCAGGTGAAAAGAGATGGATAAGAGGAGGGGAAGTAAAAGTGGAAGGCTAATGTAATCCTTTTCCAAACTACCTGAAATAGGACAAAACAGGACATCATTTTGGTGTACCACTACCACAAAACAACCGTAGGTAAATGATTAATCAATGAGCTGTACCCTCTCTAGATTTCCTCTTCTTCATTGATCCAAACATAAAAGGATATTAGATTCTCAAGGGAATAATACCTTGTACGTTTCCTGCATCTCGCGAACCGAAACTGAGAATTCTGTCATTGCCCAGCTCAGAGTGTTGAAC